GGGATTGGGTAGGTCACATTACAGAAGGGATTGGGTAGGTCACATTACAGGAAGGGATTGGGTAGGTCACATTACAGAAGGGATTGGGTAGGTCACATTACAGAAGGGATTGGGTAGGTCACATTACAGGAAGGGATTGGGTAGGTCACATTACAGAAGGGATTGGGTAGGTCACATTACAGGAAGGGATTGGGTAGGTTACATTACAGAAGGGATTGGGTAGGTTACATTACAGAAGGGATTGGGTAGGTCACATTACAGAAGGGATTGGGTAGGTGACATTACAGGAAGGGATTGGGTAGGTCACATTACAGAAGGGATTGGGTAGGTCACATTACAGAAGGGATTGGGTAGGTCACATTACAGAAGGGATTGGGTAGGTCACATTACAGGAAGGGATTGGGTAGGTTACATTACAGAAGGGATTGGGTAGGTTACATTACAGAAGGGATTGGGTAGGTCACATTACAGAAGGGATTGGGTAGGTCACATTACAGGAAGGGATTGGGTAGGTCACATTACAGAAGGGATTGGGTAGGTCACATTACAGGAAGGGATTGGGTAGGTTACATTACAGAAGGGATTGGGTAGGTTACATTACAGAAGGGATTGGGTAGGTCACATTACAGAAGGGATTGGGTAGGTCACATTACAGGAAGGGATTGGGTAGGTCACATTACAGAAGGGATTGGGTAGGTCACATTACAGGAGGGATTGGGTAGGTCACATTACAGAAGGGATTGGGTAGGTCATGTTATAGGAAGGGATTGGGTAGGTCACATTACAGGAAGGGATTGGGTAGGTCACATTACAGGAAGGGATTGGGTAGCTCACATTACAGGAAGGGATTGGGTAGGTCACATTACAGAAGGGATTGGGTAGGTCACATTACAGGAAGGGATTGGGTAGGTCACATTACAGAAGGGATTGGGTAGGTCACATTACATAAAGGGATTGAGTAGGTCACATTACAGGAAGGGATTGGGTAGCTCATATTACAGAAGGGATAGGGTAGGTCATGTTACAGGAAGGGATTGGGTAGGTCACATTACAGAAGGGATTGGGTAGGTCACATTACAGAAGGGATTGGGTAGGTCACATTACAGGAAGGGATTGGGTAGGTCACATTACAGGAAGGGATTGGGTAGGTCACATTACAGGAAGGGATTGGGTAGCTCATATTACAGAAGGGATAGGGTAGGTCATGTTACAGGAAGGGATTGGGTAGGTCACATTACAGAAGGGATTGGGTAGGTCACATTACAGAAGGGATTGGGTAGGTCACATTACAGAAGGGATTGGGTAGGTCACATTACAGAAGGGATTGGGTAGGTCACATTACAGAAGGGATTGGGTAGGTCACATTACAGAAGGGATTGGGTAGGTCACATTACAGAAGGGATTGGGTAGGTCACATTACAGAAGGGATTGGGTAGATAACATTACAGAAGGGATTGGGTAGGTCACATTACAGAAGGGATTGGGTAGGTCACATTACAGGAAGGGATTGGGTGGGACACGTTACAGGAAAGGATTGGGTTCCTGGTTGTTAACTACAGAAGCTGCTGTGCAAAACGTGTGAGTTGAGAGGTGATGGAAGTGTGTGTGTGTGTGGGGGGGGGGGGGGCGACAAGCATATATTTCTCAAGTTTATTAAAACACATGCCTAACCTTCAACCCCAGAAATAGAAAGTGGCCTATGTACCTGTCACACGAAAAAAAAAATTAAAAATAGAAATGTAAAAAACAGAAACTACTCAGAGAAGCTACACAGAGAAACTACACAGAGAAAATTATACACAGAGAAACTGCACAGTGAAAAACGTCGATTGATTTGGCCTATAAATCTCAATCTAAAAGAATTCGCTGAGAACTAACCCTTTGTATGTCCCGTGTACGTGTAGCTTGTAATGTAATTTTTTAAACTGCTAAACGTGTGGGCTACAAACTCAAGTAAGGGAAACTCAGGTAAGGGAAATAATCGAGAAAAAGTTTTTCCAATTCGGCAATAAATTTCAGTAAAAATCCCCAAACGTGCTTGAAATCGTTTTACAGCTGGGATAACTAGAGGTCATTTTTAAAAAAAGTGGGATTTGTGTGGATTTTTCAGGAAAACCTAGGTATTGCTTACTGTATTATTTGCAATATGTGTAGCAGTGAATAAAATGTGTTAAGAAAGTGACAGCTCTCAATTCTAAAAGTAGAATAAAAACACTGTAATGTTACTTCCCACAGCGTTTGATGGTTGCCGAAAATAATTTCTATTAATCCCTATCAAATCTACTGGGGCAGGGGTCGGCAACCTGCGGCTCGCGAGCCGCATGCGGCTCCCTTGATATCAAGATGCGGCTCTCCAGCTCTTTGCACAAATACTAATAATCTTAATCAAAAAATAAAATGTTTGAAATTTAAAAAATGTTAGTGGCTCTTTAAAACCAGGGAAATTTTGAAAATTGTAACTTTTGGCTCTTCCGCTTCAAAAGGTTGCCGACCCCTGTACTGGGGTAATTAATCTCTATCAAACTCTACAAGATTATGAATCTCCGTAAAACTCTACAGAATTTTAAATCTCTGTTAAACTCTGTAGGATTATTAATCTCTATCAAATATTACAGAACTAAAAATCTCCATCAAGCTCTGAAAAAACTTCCAAAAAAGGGCATATTTAGGGACTTGCATGTTCAGTGTACACATAGAAGAAAGGGCTCTAGGAGCACTTGTCTTAAACTCTAGGAGCGCCTATCTCAAGGAGCGCCTCTCTGTAGGAGCACCTGTCTGTAGGAGCACCTGTCTGTAGGAGCACCTGTCTGTAGGAGCACCTGTCTCTGGAGCACCTGTCTGTAGGAGCACCTGTCTGTAGAAGCACCTGTCTGTAGGGCTCTAGGAGCACCTGTTTGTAGGAGCACCTGTCTGTAGAAGCACCTGTCTGTAGGAGCACCTGTCTGTAGGAGCACCTGTCTGTAGAAGCACCTGTCTGTAGGGCTCTAGGAGCACCTGTTTGTAGGAGCACCTGTCTGTAGAAGCACCTGTCTGTAGGAGCACCTGTCTGTAGGAGCACCTGTCTGTAGGGCTCTAGGAGCACCTGTTTGTAGGAGCACCTGTCTGTAGAAGCACCTGTCTGTAGGAGCACCTGTCTGTAGGAGCACCTGTCTGTAGGAGCACCTGTCTGTAGGAGCACCTGTCTGTAGGAGCACCTGTCTGTAGGAGCACCTGTCTGTAGGGCTCTAGGAGCACCTGTTTGTCGGAGCACCTGTCTGTAGAAGCACCTGTCTGTAGGAGCACCTGTCTGTAGGAGCACCTGTCTGTAGGAGCACCTGTCTGTAGGAGCACCTGTCTGTAGGAGCACCTGTCTGTAGGAGCACCTGTCTGTAGAAGCACCTGTCTGTAGGAGCACCTGTCTGTAGGAGCACCTGTCTCTGGAGCACCTGTCTGTAGGAGCACCTGTCTGTAGGAGCACCTGTATGTAGGAGCACCTGTATGTAGGAGCACCTGTCTGTAGGAGCACCTGTCTGTAGGGCTCTAGGAGCACCTGTCTGTAGGAGCACCTGTCTGTAGGAGCACCTGTCTGTAGGAGCACCTGTCTGTAGGAGCACCTGTATGTAGGAGCACCTGTCTGTAGAAGCACCTGTCTGTAGGGCTCTAGGAGCACCTGTCTGTAGGAGCACCTGTCTGTATATATGCTAGAAAAATTGAACCCCCCCCCCCATGAGACGATCCTGGCTACGCCACTGCATGGAGGTTATAGTTGTTTAATTCTCTTGATTCCTGTGGCGCATACGCCAGAAACAAAGTTTAAAATCTGCAATGCCTGACTGTGCTGGACTAGCCACCAGACAGGCTTTGCCTGTGGACAGCACCTGTTCTTCTATCTCTCTCCCCCATGTTCCCAATGGTTGTCCCCTCTACCTCTAGCCAGTCGGGGTCCATTTAAGTGCATTGTTTTGGAGTTGCTTTCTTTTTAAATATTCTGATGGTGTGACCCGACCATCGCCAACATCTTGCTCTTATTTCACCCACAATATGTGAGGTACAGCCGTACGAGATCTTAAAGTGAATGGTTAAAGTGAATTAATTTTAAGAATACTACGATGATAGCTTAAAAGATGTCCAAGTGAAGATTACTTGACAGTAAAATATTAAACTGAAACACTCCCCTCCCCACACATCTCTACCCTCCTACCTCCCCAACCCCACACATGAAATCTCTACCCTCCCCGCCACACATTAAATCTATACCCTCCCCTCCAGACATGAAATCTCTACGCCCCCCCACACACACCCTTAACATCTCTACCCTCCCCCCTCACAAACACACACTTAACATCTCTACCCTCCCCCCCACACACACCCTTAACATCTCTACCCTCCCCCCCCCACACACACACCCGTAACATATCTACCCTCCCCCCCCCACACACACACCCGTAACATATCTACCCTCCCCCCCACACACACACCCGTAACATATCTACCCTCCCCTCCACACTTAACATCTCTGTCCTCCTCTACCCTCCCCTACATGACATCTCTACCCCCCCCACAACACCCTTAACATCTCTCCCCTCCTCTACCCCCCCCCCACACACACCCCTAACATCTCTACCCTCCTCTACCCCCCCCCCCCCCCACACACACACCCTTAACATCTCTACCCCCCACACACACCCCTAACATCTCTACCCTCCTCTACCCCCCCCCCACACACACACCCTTAACATCTCTCCCCTCCTCTACCCCCCCCCCCCACACACACACCCTTAACATCTCTACCCCCCACACACACCCCTAACATCTCTACCCTCCTCTACCCCCCCCCCCACACACACACCCTTAACATCTCTACCCCCCACACACACCCCTAACATCTCTACCCTCCTCTACCCCCCCCACCCACACACACACCCTTAACATCTCTACCCTCCCCTCCACATCTGTCATCTCTACCCTCCTCTCCCCTCCCCTCCACACTTAACATCTCTCCCCTCCTCTACCCCCCACAGCTGGCCTTGTCCGTACAACTAGCCCCCACAATGGAGCAAATGATTGACGTCATGTTCGCCTTCCTCAAGTACTACAACTGGCGCGACTTCTCCTTCCTGTGTACGCTCTCTGTCGGCTGCCAGGATGAGATAGCTTACATACGTCACAAGGTCGATCAGTCCCAGGCTCAGACTAACATCAGCATCTTCGGCACCGAGTCTTTCACGTGAGTACTGACATGACCGCCCCTGGACACGTCAGGTGTGAAGATTGACTGCAGGTGAACTGACATCACGTGATTAGACATCAGGTGAACTGACATCACGTGATTAGACTTCAGGTGAACTGACATCACGTGATTAGACTTCACGTGAACTGACATCACGTGATTAGACTTCAGGTGAACTGACATCACGTGATTAGACTTCACGTGAACTGACATTACGTGATTAGACTTCAGGTGAACTGACATCACGTGATTAGACTTCACGTGAACTGACATCACGTGATTAGACTTCAGGTGAACTGACGTCACGTGATTAGACTTCAGGTGAACTGACGTCACGTGATTAGACTTCAGGTGAACTGACATCACGTGATTAGACTTCAGGTGAACTGACGTCACGTGATTAGACTTCAGGTGAACTGACATCACGTGATTAGACTTCAGGTGAACTGACATTACGTGATTAGACTTCAGGTGAACTGACATTACGTGATTAGACTTCATGTGAACTGACATCACGTGATTAGACTTCAGGTGAACTGACATTACGTGATTAGACTTCAGGTGAACTGACATTACGTGATTAGACTTCACGTGAGTTGACTTCAGGTGAATTGACATCATGCTAGTAGTGAACATCGAACTGACTCTAAAGTGAATAGTGACTTGATTCCATGTAATAACTCAACTGACGAGAGTACTGAACACGCTAGACCTGACAAGTAAACTGACACGTACCATCCTCCACAACATGTGTTGTCAAAGGTGATGACATGGTTTAACAATAGAAATCCCTCCAATAAACGCCTCTAATTACCAGCGTGTACTCTATCCAATGTCTGTTGTTGACCTCTGACCTCTCAGGTTTAACCTCCAGTCCTATGTTAACTTCACCAACGGCCTTGACATTGAGGAGGCGAGGGAGAAGCTCAGATACGAACTGGATAAGGACACCAGGATCATTTTTGTACACGGCAAGAGGTAGGCAAGAAGTTATATGTACACGGCAAGAGGTAGGCGAGAATATGTATCTGTACATGGGAGTATTTGGGCTATTTGTATGTGGGAATAATTAGGCTATTTGTACACGGAAGTATTTAGGCTATTTGTACACGGAAGTATTTAGGCTATTTGTACACAGAAGTATTTAGGCTATTTGTACACGGAAGTATTTAGGCTATTTGTACACGGAAGTATTTAGGCTATTTGTACACGGAAGTATTTAGGCTATTTGTACACGGAAGTATTTAGGCTATTTGTACATGGAAGTATTTAGGCTATTTGGACACGGAAGTATTTAGGCTATTTGTACATGGAAGTATTTAGGCTATTTGTACACGGAAGTATTTAGGCTATTTGTACATGGAAGTATTTAGGCTATTTGTACACGGAAGTATTTAGGCTATTTGTACATGGAAGTATTTAGGCTATTTGTACACGGAAGTATTTAGGCTATTTGTACATGGAAGTATTTAGGCTATTTGGACACGGAAGTATTTAGGCTATTTGTACACGGAAGTATTTAGGCTATTTGGACACGGAAACATTTAGGCTATTTGGACACGGAATTAATTAGGCTATTTGTACACGGAATTAATTAGGCTATTTGTAGACAAAATAATTAGGCTATTTTACATGGAAAGGAAATATTTATACATGTGAAGAGGATGGCTAATCGTACAATTGGCACAATTGAAAAGTGAGGCTATCTAGACACCAGCGTATTAGATTCGAGGTAGAAAATGTGTGCAAATGAAGAGGTAAGCTATTGTAAGAGTTTGCCAATTGTAAAGTTTAGAGGTAAGCTATTGAGAGAGATTGCTAATTTGTAAAGTTTAGAGGTAAGCTATTGTAAGACATTGCCAATTCGTAAAGTGAAGAGGGTTTAGATTTTAGAACATTTGAGATGTTTACCTGAAGCTCCCTAAACTCTCCTGTCAACAATTTTAATTGAAAAGAGTTTATTTTTTCTTGAAGCCCGGAGATAAGGACCATCATGGAGATGGCCGCTGAGCTGGGGCTGACTAACGAAGAATATGTCTGGATCTTCAGTCAAGGGTCCGTGGACAGAGCGAAGAAAGGAGCGACTGGTTACAGGTCCTTTCCTGAAGGGTCTTTTGGTGAGAGATTCCAGACTTTCAATGTGTTTGTTTACAGAGTGTGTATGGGGGGGGGGGGGCTGGAACAACTCTTAAGACATTTTTGCTCAGTAGCCTCCCAAGGGTGGGTTGCGTACCACATAAGGTGACACCACCCATGGGGGTGACACCATCTAAGGAGTGACACCGTGAAAGGTGTGACGAGATAGTATGGGTGACACCATCCAAACTAAAAAGTTGCACCATCCTAAGGGTGACACCCAAGGAAAAATGGTCAGCTTAAATAAGACAATACATCTTTTATTATACAACATTATTATATACGTTTATAGGAACATGGTGACATTATTTGAGACGAGGTGACACTGAATAGCTACAGATTTCGTTCAATTTGTAAATAAAGTTAACACATCGGGTATCATTGGATTTAGTGAAGTCATTGCTTTAAGTTTTAAACATTATTCAAACTGGCAGTAAAAATTCACATGAAAACTTGTACAAAATTCAAGAATCAAGCGCATACACGTTTCTCTATACAAGTTAAAAATTACCATAAAATTGTGATATTTGATTATTTACTGATACGGTTACCTCCCCACGACAGTGATTTTGTGATATTTACTGATACGGTTACCTCCCTACGACAGTGATTTTGTGATACTTACTGATACGGTTACCTCCCCACCCCAGTGATTTTGTGATATTTACTGATACGGTTACCTCCCCCCCCCCCAGTGATTTTGTGATATTTACTGATACGGTTACCTCCCCACGACAGTGATTTTGTGATTTTTACTCATACGGTTACCTCCCCCCCCAGTGATTTTGTGATATTTACTCATACGGTTACCTCCCCCCCCCCAGTGATTTTGTAATATTTACTCATACGGTTACCTCCCCCCCCCCCCCCCCCCAGTGATTTTGTGATATTTACTGATACGGTTACCTCCCCCCCCCCCCCCCAGTGATTTTGTGATATTTACTCATACGGTTACCTTCCCCCCCCCCCCCAGTGATTTTGTGATATTTACTCATACGGTTACCTCCCCCCCCCCCCAGTGATTTTGTGATATTTACTCATACGGTTACCTCCCCCCCCCCCCAGTGATTTTGTGATATTTACTCATACGGTTACCTCCCCACGACAGTGATTTTGTGATATTTACTGATACGGTTACCTCCCCACCCCAGTGATTTTGTGATATTTACTGATACGGTTACCTCCCCCCCCCCCCAGTGATTTTGTGATATTTACTCATACGGTTACCTCCCCACGACAGTGATTTTGTGATATTTACTGATACGGTTACCTCCCCACCCCAGTGATTTTGTGATATTTACTGATACGGTTACCTCCCCCCCCCCAGTGATTTTGTGATATTTACTCATACGGTTACCTCCCCCCCCCCAGTGATTTTGTGATATTTACTCATACGGTTACCTCCCCCCCCCCCAGTGATTTTGTGATATTTACTCATACGGTTACCTCCCCCCCCCCCCCCCCAGTGATTTTGTAATATTTACTCATACGGTTACCTCCCCCCCCCAGTGATTTTGTGATATTTACTCATACGGTTACCTCCCCCCCCCCCAGTGATTTTGTGATATTTACTCATACGGTTACCTCCCCCCCCCCCCAGTGATTTTGTGATATTTACTGATACGGTTACCTCCCCCCCCCCCCCAGTGATTTTGTGATATTTACTCATACGGTTACCTCCCCCCCCAGTGATTTTGTGATATTTACTCATACGGTTACCTCCCCCCCCCCCCAGTGATTTTGTGATATTTACTCATACGGTTACCTATCCACGACAGTGATTTTGTGATATTTACTGATACGGTTACCTCCCCACCCCAGTGATTTTGTGATATTTACTGATACGGTTACCTCCCCCCCCAGTGATTTTGTGATATTTACTCATACGGTTACCTCCCCACGACAGTGATTTTGTGATATTTACTCATACGGTTACCTCCCCCCCCCAGTGATTTTGTGATATTTACTCATACGGTTACCTCCCCCCCCCCCCCCCCCCAGTGATTTTGTATATTTACTGATACGGTTACCTCCCCCCCCCCAGTGATTTTGTGATATTTACTCATACGGTTACCTCCCCCCCCCCCCAGTGATTTTGTGATATTTACTGATACGGTTACCTCCCCCCCCCCCCCCCCCAGTGATTTTGTGATATTTACTCATACGGTTACCTCCCCCCCCCCCCCAGTGATTTTGTGATATTTACTCATACGGTTACCTCCCCCCCCCCCCCCCCCCAGTGATTTTGTGATATTTACTCATACGGTTACCTCCCCACGACAGTGATTTTGTGATATTTACTGATACGGTTACCTCCCCACCCCAGTGATTTTGTGATATTTACTGATACGGTTACCTCCCCCCCCCCCCAGTGATTTTGTGATATTTACTCATACGGTTACCTCCCCCCCCCCAGTGATTTTGTGATATTTACTCATACGGTTACCTCCCCCCCCCCCAGTGATTTTGTGATATTTACTCATACGGTTACCTCCCCCCCCCCCCCCAGTGATTTTGTGATATTTACTGATACGGTTACCTCCCCCCCCCAGTGATTTTGTGATATTTACTCATACGGTTACCTCCCCCCCCCCCAGTGATTTTGTAATATTTACTGATACGGTTACCTCCCCACGACAGTGATTTTGTGATATTTACTGATACGGTTACCTCCCCACCCCAGTGATTTTGTGATATTTACTGATACGGTTACCTCCCCACGACAGTGATTTTGTGATATTTACTGATACGGTTACCTCCCCACCCCAGTGATTTTGTGATATTTACTGATACGGTTACCTCCCCACGACAGTGATTTTGTGATATTTACTCATACGGTTACCTCCCCCCCCCCCCAGTGATTTTGTGATATTTACTCATACGGTTACCTCCCCCCCCCCCCCAGTGATTTTGTGATATTTACTCATACGGTTACCTCCCCCCCCCCCCCCAGTGATTTTGTAATATTTACTGATACGGTTACCTCCCCACGACAGTGATTTTGTGATATTTACTGATACGGTTACCTCCCCACCCCAGTGATTTTGTGATATTTACTGATACGGTTACCTCCCCACGACAGTGATTTTGTGATATTTACTGATACGGTTACCTCCCCACCCCAGTGATTTTGTGATATTTACTGATACGGTTACCTCCCCACGACAGTGATTTTGTGATATTTACTGATACGGTTACCTCCCCCCCCATTGATTTTGTGATATTTACTGATACGGTTACCTCCCCACGACAGTGATTTTGTGATATTTACTCATACGGTTACCTCCCCACGACAGTGATTTTGTGATATTTACTCATACGGTTACCTCCCCCCCCCCCCCCAGTGATTTTGTGATATTTACTGATACGGTTACCTCCCCACGACAGTGATTTTGTGATATTTACTGATACGGTTACCTCCCCACCCCAGTGATTATTTACTGATACGGTTACCCCCCCCCCCCCCCCAGTGTATATTTACTGATACGGTTACCTCCCCACCCCAGTGATTATTTACTGATACGGTTACCCCCCCCTCCCCCCCCCCCCCCAGTGATCGTCTCTCCCAGCGACGGGGCAGCTGTAGAAGAGGTGACTAGGAAGGTGGTCAACATCTGGCTCACGGCCATCGAGTCTATGGCCAGGTCACCGGACACAGAACACGTCGACTTCAACACCCACTTCTCGTGTCAGCGGAACGACTACAACAACAACGGCAGCCGTCCGCTGTACTGGAAGTACGGTCAGTTTGTGTACCAGTAAGTCATGCACGTTTTCATACGGTTAAGTCGTGGAACTTTTGTGCCGGGGAACTTTTGTGCCAGGGAACTTTTGTGCCAGGGAACTTTTATGCCAGGGAACTTTTATGCCAGGGAACTTTTATGCCAGAAAGTTAGGGAACTTTCCTTATCAGAATGTTAGGGAACTTTCCTCATCAGAATGTTAAGGAACATTCCTTATCAGAAAACTAGGGAACATTTCTTATTATAATATTAGGGAACTATGAATATCAGTAAATTAAAAGGTTTTATATCACAATAAGTTATGGAACTTTTGTATTATATAGTCAGAAAATTGTTTGTATCAGCTTGTCATTGTGTTCTTTTGTTGGCTTAATTAAATTAATTAAATCACTGATAATTATAAAAAAACAATATTTCTTTTATTTCTCAATGCGTTGTAAAGTTGTAACTCTAACAGTAAAAAGTTTCAGATCATTCAACTCAAACATCTGTTATAATCTCTAGACATTTAACTCAAACACACGCTTTAATCTCAAGGCAATAATCTCAAACACCCGCTTTAATCTCAAGGCAATAATCCCAAACACCCGCTATAATCTCCAGACATTAATCCCAAATACCCGCTATAATCTCCAGGCATATCCTGAAAGCCAAAATCCCAGACGAGAACTTAGAGTTTGACCAGAACGGAGTTCTCAAAATCAACAAGTTCCAGATTCTCAATGTTCAATTGCCGTCAGCAACACAGGGCAGTTCAAACACTGCAAACAGGTAGCATGCAGATTGGTGTAGCAATAGTCGATAGATGAGGGTAGCTACAACATTCAGATTGTGGTAGCTACAACATTCAGATTGTGGTAGCTACGCCATTCAGATTGTGGTAGCTACACCATTCAGTTTGTGGTAGCTACATCGTTCAGATTGTGGTAGCTACAATTTTCAGATTGTGGTAGCTACAACATTCATTGTGGTAGCTACAACAGATTGTGATAGCTACAATATTCAAATTGTGCTAGCTACACCATTCAGAGAATGGTAGCTGCAACAGAATGTGGTAGCTACAACATTAAAATTGTGGTAGCTACAGCATTCAAAATGTAGTAGCTACAACATTTAGATTGTGGTAACTGTTAGTATTTTTTCATCCAGATATAAAGCATCTGTTATAATTTTTTTGTATTGATTGATCCAGGCCGGCCTTCAACTTCAACAGAGAGTCCAACACAGCGCCCCGACAACCCCCCAGCTTGAACAGGAACCCCCCATTGTCGCCCCCCTTCAGACGCCCAGACAGCGCCCGTGAGGCGTCCACCCCTCCCACATTCAGACGGGATTTCTCAAGGCCTCCATGGCCAGGGGCTAAGACTAACCCCAAACCCGCATACGAATTTCAGAGACCCGTGTTTAGACCCGACAAGTCGACTGACCCGGAAACTTCGGCTGGCAACCCGCCCTACCGACGTCATGTGAGGACTGACGTCACACACTCAGACGTCAACCACTCTGACGTCCCGACAGACGGCAGCAAACACTCGAGAAAACGGGGACGTCTGGATGACGTCAGACCGGAAACAGATGAGCTCATCCAGTTTCATCCAATCAACGTCACATCCGGCGCGGCTTCAAACAGAAAGAAGCGGAGTAAACCATTGCCGCCCCTGAAAACTCTTGTGGAGGTAATGTGAACAAGTAAATATAAAACTTTAGTGGAGGTAAGGTGTACAAGCAAATAAAAAACTTTAGTGGAGGTAAGGTGTACAAGCAAATATAAAACTTTAGTGGAGGTAAGGTGTACAAGCAAATATAAAACTTTAGTGGAGGTAAGGTGTACAAGCAAATATAAAACTTTAGTGGAGGTAAGGTGTACAAGCAAATATAAAACTTTAGTGGAGGTAAGGTGTACAAGCAAATATAAAACTTTAGTAGATGGTGTACAAGCAAATATAAAACTTTAGTGGAGATTAGGTGTACAAGCAAATATAAAACTTTAGTGGAGGTTAGGTGTACAAGCAAATATAAAACTTTAGTAGATGGTGTACAAGCAAATATAAAACTTTAGTGGAAGTAAGGTGTACAAGCAAATATAAAACTTTAGTGGAGATTAGGTGTACAAGCAAATATAAAACTTTAGTGGAGGTAAGGTGTACAAGCAAATATAAAACTTTAGTGGAGGTAAGGTGTACAAGCAAATATAAAACTTTAGTAGATGGTGTACAAGCAAATATAAAACTTTAGTGGAAGTAAGGTGTACAAGCAAATATAAAACTTTAGTGGAGGTAAGGTGTACAAGCAAATATAAAACTTTAGTGGAGGTAAGGTGTGCAAGCAAATATAAAACTTTAGTGGAGGTAAGGTGTACAAGCAAATATAAATCTTTAGTAGATGGTGTACAAGCAAATATAAAACTTTAGTGGAGGTAAGGTGTACAAGCAAGTATAAAACTTTAGTGGAGATTAGGTGTACAAGCAAATATAAAACTTTAGTGGAGGTAAGGTGTACAAGCAAATATAAAACTTTAGTGGAGGTAAGGTGTACAAGCAAATATAAAACTTTAGTGGAGGTAAGTTGTACAAGCAAATATAAAACTTTAGTGGAGGTAAGGTGTACAAGCAAATATAAAACTCTTGTGGAGGTAAGGTGTACAAGCAAATATAAAACTTTAGTGGAGGTAAGGTGTACAAGCAAATATAAAACTTTAGTGGAGGTAAGGTGTACAAGCAAATATAAAACTTTAGTGGAGGTAAGGTGTACAAGCAAATATAAAACTTTGTCACTAAAATCGTTGAACGTGTAGTAAAGCACATAGCGTGTTGACCAATTATTATTTAATCAAATGTTTTTGTTAAACAAGTATAACATTTTAGAAATATAGACATTTAACTCCCGTGTGACGGGTACCAATGGCTAGTCTTGTATAAGCCAACAAAAGTTTGTTTCACAAAATATTTTCATGTGACCATTTTGTTTTGTTGATCAACCCATTGTCTTCCCCTAAACAACCCGTACGACAACCACTGCGGGATGGTTACCTGAGTAAAAGATTGTCAGAGGAAAGTGGTTGGTCACGTTGTGACGTCAACACAACCTCTAGACTCTGGTAGCCTTCACCTTTGAAAGAATCCATTTCAAAAAGTTCCAGACTAACCAAAGTTCACATGACGCAATTAATCTATTTTATCAACTCTCGACCTGGACTGTTTGAGTCAATTAATTAACTCGCAGCTCTCTTATAACTTTAATTAGCTCTGCGGTAAAGCATCCCCCGTCTAATTAATTTGTTTCCTGAATTAAGTGGAACATTCTTGTGTTTGGACTGGACTAAAAATAGATTCTACATCTGACTTTGGTTTTGGTTTTATTATTTAAAATATCTTGATACGTTTTCATAACATATTTATAGAATGTGGTTCGTGATTGGATAGGGTGTAGATTTCCCATAGCTTTAATTGTTGTAGGTGGTCATTTGTTCATAAAATTTACTTTGATTTATCTGTAGGTGGTCATTTGTTCATAAAATTTACTTTGATTTATCTGTAGGTGGTCATTTGTTCATAAAATTAACATTGACTTATTTGCTCTAGGTGGCTGCCTGGAACGGCTACAATTTATCTGTGTCTGGTATCGTCTGGCCCGGGGGTGCGGCCAGCCCTCCCAAGGGCAAGCCGGACAAGTACATCCTGAAGGTGGTCACGTGGGCCGAGGACCCCCACGTGATTTACACGGAACCCAAAAACGAAACAATCGTGGAAGGCGACCCCTGCACCCTGGTGTCCAACTCTATCCCGTGTACGGTCTACGTGCGGGATTCTAATTTACGGAGGTCAGTGTGTGGGGCATTGTGGGGGACATTTACAGAGGTCAGTGTGTGGGGCATTGTGGGGGACATTTACGGAGGTTAGTGTGTGGGGAATTGTGTGGGACATTTACGGAGGTCGGTGTGTGGGGAATAGTGGGGTAGATTTACACAATTATTGGGCAAGATAAAGGGGCTGGAGGGGGGTGGTTAAAAAAGGAAGAACATTAAAATGTTAACACCACCTGTCTAAATCACTTTTGATCTCCCTTAAATCTTAGAAAACGGAGTCTACCTCAAAAGTCGTTATTTACAGTCTTACATTTCAAACAGGTTATTTAAAAACCAGAATGCATTAAATGTTCATGTCATTGTTAACATCTCAGGGAGGGCAACTTGACTCGTGTCGTGTGCTGTACTGGGTTATCTATCGACCTCCTCAAGCGTCTCAGTGACATGCTGCACTTTGAGGTAGAGCTGACGGAGGTGGCGGATGGCAACTACGGCAGTCCTAGAGATGTAAGTTGTTGTAGTCTAGTGCCAACTACGGCAGTCCTAGAGATGTAAGTTGTTGTAGTGTAGTGTGTAGGTCTTAAGTTGTTGTAGTGTAGGGAAGTCTTAAGGTATTGTAGTGTAGGGGTGTAGGTGTGATGTTGTTGTAGTGTAGGGTAGTAGGTCTGATGTTGTTGTAGTCTAGGGGTGTAGGTCTTAAGGTGTTGTACTGTAGGGAAGTAAGTCTAAAATTGTTGTAGTGGGGAGTAGGTCTGAAATTGTTGTAGCGTAGTGGTGTAAGTCTTAAGTTGTTGTAGTGTAGGGGAGTAGATGTGAAATTGTTGTAGTGTAGGGGAGTAGGTCTTAAGTTGTTGTAGTGTAAGGGTGTAGTTGTGAAGGTGTTGTAGTGTAGGGGAGTAGGTCTGAAATTGTTGTCGTGTAGGATGTAAGCCCTTAAGGAATTACCGTGTAGGGATTTATTTCTGAAGTTATTGATTTAACAAATTAAGTAATGAAAGTGTATTTCATCCTAAATTTAGTTCAAACAGAATCAAAGTGATTGGACAGGAATGATTGGAATGTTGATTGAAGAACGAGCCGACATGGCCATAGGAGCCCTGTCCATCACAGAAGAGCGAGCCCGGGTCGTTGACTTCTCGACGCCCTTCCTTCAGACTGGCATTACAATCATTGTAGCCATCAGAGAGGGCGCCATATCCCCAACCGCTTTCCTAGGTATTTTTAGCTATTCATATATATATATATATATATATATATATATATATATATATATATATATATATAGGCCTGTGTATATATGTTTGTGAATAAACTAATTAGAAGGGTATTGAAAAATTGACATTGAATTGGAAATTATTTTATAATTCATTAATTCCTAACTATTTTGTGTTTATATAATGATTTTTGTTTGCGTAATTTGTAATGAAACTTAATAACTCTTAAAGCTAAAAATAATATAAAGTAACTTTTTAAAGTGAATCCTTCAAACTGTGGCGTAGCGAGGTCGGGTGTCACTCGACTCGGTGCGGCTTTTAATGGTGTCACCCCCCCCCCCCCAGAGGCGTAGCGACCCTTCCCGGGGACAAACTTTCAAATTTTCGATTTGCACCCCCCTCTTGTTTTCGACTTGTACCCCCCCCCCCCCCTCAAGTTTTCGATTTGCACCCCCCCCCCCCTCAAGTTTTTCTCTATATATTTTATTTTCCTATTTTTTGCCTTGGTGTCACCCCCCTAAATGGTGTCACCCGGTGCGGTCCGCACCCCCCCCTCGCTACGCCCTGCCTTCAAAATAATTAGAATGTAATTACTAGTTAAAGAACTTGAATATTTGCTGAATACAACACTGACACCTTCATCCCTCCCACTTTTGACAGAGCCCTACGATTACCCTTCCTGGAGCCTAATTCTTGTCTTTAGCGTGCACGCTACTGGGGCGTCTATTTTTATCTTTGAGTGGCTGAGTCCTTATGGCCTGGATCAGGGGAAGACGTCACTCAGTGGTAAGTGTAAGGTCATCTAGGTAACTGGGTCACTCAGTGGTAAATGTAAGGTCATCTAGGTCACTGGGTCAATAAACGGTAAGTGTAAGGTCATCTAGGTCACTGGGTCACTCAGTGGTAACTGTAAGGTCATCTAGGTAACTGGGTCAATAAATGGTAAGTGTAAGGTCATCTAGGTCACTCAGTGGTAAGTGTAAGGTCATCTAGATCACTGGGTCACTCAGTGGTAAGTGTAAGGTCATCTAGGTCACTGGGTCACTCAGTGGTAAGTGTAAGGTCATCTAGGTCACTGGGTCTCTAAATGGTAAGTATCAGGTCATCTAGGTCACTTGGTCACTCAGTGGTAAGTGTAAGGTCATCTAGGTCACTGGGTGACTAAATGCTAAGTATCATTAATGCACCTTGTATGCGTGGTTGTGTAATAAACCCATGTTATAAAATATAAATACTTTTAACCATCTAATTAAAAGATTGTATGTACATTTTAAGAAATACATATGTAACTACATATCAAAAATACATGGCTAATCTCTCTACTAAACATTAAAAATACAAGCAGATCCTCGTTCTTAATCTCTAAACAAAGCAGATTCTCCTTCTTAATCTCTAAACAAAGCAGATTCCACCCAAAGTGTTTACGTTATATACAATATTTAACCAGATTCGATCTAAACAATACCTAATCCGACCTCCCCCACCCCGATGTCTACCCTTCCCCCCCCCCTGCAGTGCACAAGTTCTCCCTGTTCCGCTCCTTCTGGCTCATCTGGGCCATGCTGTTCGGTGCCAGCGTCTCCACGGACCAGCCCCGGGGGTGCGCCAGTCGCTTCCTGGCCAACATCTGGGCGCTGTTCGCTGTCGTCTTCTGCGCCTCCTACACGGCCAACCTGGCAGCCTTCATGATCACCAAGGACGACTACTACGATCTCAGTGGCATTCAGGACTGGAGGGTAGGTCAAGGTCGTTTAACTTCAACATCTTTTAAGAAATAAATTGTTTTTCTCATGTTAGCGTGAGCTTAATCAGTTCATTGTTCAACTGATTTAGCCCTGTTGGAATATATTTCGCGACTTCATATAATTGAAAAATTAATTAGATTGAAAATTGTATTAGCTAATTATATCATTAGAAACGAATAAAAAGTAAATCAGTTGATAAAATACGGTAATAATATCTAGATAACATAGCATAGAATCTTATTTGGCTGTGTTGTCTCTCCCCAACACCACCCCCACCCCCTTCAGTTGAAAAACCCCGACCACCACCACCCACCTTTCAAGTTCGCCACCATCGCCAACTCTGCCACCGACTTCAACATAGAGACCAACTACAAGGAGATCCACAAGAACATCAAGAAGAACCCTCAGACTAGCGTCAAGGATGCTATAAGGGCTCTCAAGAATCAGTACGTTGTGTCTGTTGTGTATTGGAAGATGTGTCTGTTGTGTATTGGAAGATGTGTCTGTTGTGTATTGGAAGATGTGTCTGTTGTGTATTGGAAGATGTGTCTGTTGTGTATTGGAAGATGTGTCTGTTGTGTATTGGAAGATGTGTCTGTTGTGTATTGGAAGATGTGTCTGTTGTGTATTGGAAGATGTGTCTGTTGTGTATTGGAAGATGTGTCTGTTGTGTATTGGAAGATGTGTCTGTTGTGTATTGGAAGATGTGTCTGTTGTGTATTGGAAGATGTGTCTGTTGTGTATTGGAAGATGTGTCTGTTGTGTATTGGAAGATGTGTCTGTTGTGTATTGGAAGATGTGTCTGTTGTGTATTGGAAGATGTGTCTGTTGTGTATTGGAAGATGTGTCTGTTGTGTATTGGAAGATGTGTCTGTTGTGTATTGGAAGATGTGTCTGTTGTGTATTGGAAGATGTGTCTGTTGTGTATTGGAAGATGTGTCTGTTGTGTATTGGAAGATGTGTCTGTTGTGTATTGGAAGATGTGTCTGTTGTGTATTGGAAGATGTGTCTGTTGTGTATTGGAAGATGTGTCTGTTGTGTATTGGAAGATGTGTCTGTTGTGTATTGGAAGATGTGTCTGTTGTGTATTGGAAGATGTGTCTGTTGTGTATTGGAAGATGTGTCTGTTGTGTATTGGAAGATGTGTCTGTTGTGTTTTGGAAGATGTGTCTGTTGTGTATTGGAAGATGTGTCTGTTGTGTGTTGGGAGTTGTATCTGTTGTGTGTGGGAGTTGTATCTGTTGTGTGTGGGAGTTGTATCTGTTGTGTGTGGGAGTTGTATCTGTTGTGTGTGGGAGTTGTATCTGTTGTGTGTGGGAGTTGTATCTGTTGTGTGTGGGAGTTGTATCTGTTGTGTGTGGGAGTTGTATCTGTTGTGTGTGGGAGTTGTATCTGTTGTGTGTCGGAGTTGTGTCTGTTGTGTGTTGGTTTGTGTGTGTGTCTGTTGTGTGTTGGTTTGTGTGTTTGTGTCTATTGTGTGCTGGGAGTTGTGTGTTGATTTGTGTGTTTTTCATTAGGATTTGTGTGTTTGTCATTCGGATTTCATCACTGTTTATAACAGATAAAACAAAACAAAAAAGTACCTAATAATTCGAATAGTTTTCACAAACGGCAACGTCTACCTTAAAACATACACGACGTTATTTTCGGTTTTTACGATTACATTAGAGAGAGAGAGAGAGGGGGGGGGGGGGGGGAGAAAGAGAGAGAAAGAGAAAGAGAGAGAGAAACGATAAACAAAGGGGGAGAATGATGGAGAAAGAGACACAATCTATATATTTATACAAGCCATATATATATATATATATATATATATATATATATATATATATATATATATATATATATATAGGCTATATATATATATATATAGAGAGAGAGAGAGAGCGAGATCGTGTATGACTTGCTATGACTAACCCTACTGTTCACTAGTCACTGATGGGCTCCCCCCCCCCCTTATGTTTGCAGGCAGATCCAAGCATTTATCTACGACTCTACCACGCTGGAGTATGAGTTTGGTAAAGACGTGGGCTGTAAGCTCAAGACGGTGGGGAAGAGAATTGCTGAGACGGGCTATGGGGTGGCCTTCCCACGTAGGTCTCAGTGGGTCAAACGTGTGGACAAGGCCCTGCTCAAGTTACTGGAGGATGGTAAGTGGGGGGAAAGGGGGTGGCCTGTATGGGAATATGGTTACTGGATCAAAAAAAGGGGGAGGGGACATTTAGGGAATATGTTTACTGGGCAAAAATGGGTGTCATTTATGGGAATAAGGCTACTGAGAAAAAAGGTGTCATTTATTGGCATACATTTCCTGTGCTAAAGTAATATCATGTATGGGAATATAAGAATATCAGTGATTAGAAGACCGAGAGTGAACGAATTTGATTTATTTATTTTTTTATGATTGTGAATGGGGGGTAAAACGAATTAAATGTATCTTAGCACAACCACTATTTAACTAGAAAGTGAAAGTGATCATAACCATACCGTCACATGTATATTACAAATGTGTTATACATTTTTTTCTTCTTTGACCAGGGGAAGTAGAGCGGCTCCAGAAGTTTTGGCTTGCAGGAGCCTGCCACAAGAAAAAAGAGCGCGGGGTGTCCAGCCACACCCTGGGCATTCTAAACTTCACGTCTGCTTTCATCCTCCTAGGGAGCGGGGTCATACTGGGCGTGCTGCTGTTGCTGCTGGAACATATCTACTTCCGGTTTGGGAGAAAGTCTCTAAGAAAATGGGACAAATGTGGCTGCTGTTCCTTAGTCAGTCTGGTATGTGAATTGTCTCCCCTAAAAAATTGTATGCAATTTTTCTCCCCTAGTCAGTCTGGTATGTTATTGTCTCCCATAGTCAGTCTGGTATGGTATGTTATTGTCTCCCATAGTCAGTCTGGTATGTTATTGTCTCCCCTTGTCAATCTCGAATGTGCCTTGTCTTCCTTAAACAGTCTGTTATGTTATTTGTCTCCCCTAGACATTCTGATAAGGAATTTGTCTCCCGTTGTAATTTTTTTAAAACGCTCCTTCTATTTCTGCCCTCCGCCAACTGACCACCTCCTTGTCTGCCCACCTGACAGAGCATGGGTCAGTCCTTGACCTTTGAGCAGTCTGTGATCGAGGCCCTGGACTTCCACAAGCACCACAAGTGTAAGGACCCTCTGTGTGAGACCCAGCTCTGGAAGGTCAAGCACGAGCTGGACCTGGCCCTGCTCAAGATATCACAGCTCAGGCGGCTCATCGCGTGAGTACTTCAAGCTAATTAGAGAACACATACCGTGAGCACTGCAGGCTAATTAGAGAAATCAATAACGTGAGTACTGCAGGCTAATTGGAGAAAACAATAACGTGAGTCCCTTAAGCTAATTTTGGACCAGGTGATATTAATCGCGTGAGTACTTCAAGCTAATTAGATAAACATACTGATAACGTGAGTACTTCAAGCTAATTAGAGAACACATACTAATGTCGTGAGTACTTCAAGCTAATTAGAGAAAACATACTGATACATTGAGTACTGCAGGCTAGTTAGAGAAAACATACTGATACCGTGAGTACTTCAAGCTAATTAGAGAAAACATACTGATACATAGAGTACTTCAAGCTAATTAGAGAAAACATACTGATACATAGAGTACTTCAAGCTAATTAGAGAAAACATACTGATACCGTGAGTACTTCAAGCTAATTAGAGAAAACATACTGATACATAGAGTACTTCAAGCTAATTAGAGAAAACATACTGATACATAGAGTACTTCAAGCTAATTAGAGAAAACATACTGATACCGTGAGTACTTCAAGCTAATTAGAGAAAACATACTGATACCGTGAGTACTTCAAGCTAATTAGAGAAAACATACTGATACCGTGAGTACTTCAAGCTAATTAGAGAAAACATACTGATACCGTGAGTACTTCAAGCTAATTAGAGAAAAAATACTGATACATTGAGTATTTCAAGCTAATTGGAGAAAACATACTAATACCGTGAGTACTTCAAGCTAATTAGAGAACACATACTAATACCGTGAGTACTTCAAGCTAATTAGAGAACACGTACTGATACCGGAAGTACTTCAAACTAATTAGAGAACATATACTAACACCGTGAGTACTTCAAGCTAATTAGAGAACACGTACTGATACCGTGAGTACTTCAAGCTAACTAGAGAAAACATACTGATACCGTGAGTACTTCAAGCTAATTAGAGAAAACATACTGATACATTGAGTATTTCAAGCTAATTGGAGAAAACATACTAATACCGTGAGTACTTCAAGCTAATTAGAGAACACTTACTGATACCGTGAGTACTTCAAGCTAATTGGAGAACACGTACTGATACCGTGAGTACTTCAAGCTAATTAGAGAACACGTACTGATACCGTGAGTACTTCAAGCTTATTAGAGAACACGTACTGATACCGTGAGTACTTCAAGCTAATTGGAGAACACGTACTGATACCGTGAGTACTTCAAGCTAATTAGAGAACACGTACTGATACCGTGAGTACTTCAAGCTAATTAGAGAACACGTACTGATACCGTGAGTACTTCAAGCTAATTAGAGAACACGTACTGATACCGTGAGTACTTCAAGCTAATTAGAGAAAACATACTGATACCGTGAGTACTTCAAGCTAACTAGAGAAAACATACTGATACCGTGAGTACTTCAAGCTAATTAGAGAAAACATACTGATACATTGAGTATTTCAAGCTAATTGGAGAAAACATACTAATACCGTGAGTACTTCAAGCTAATTAGAGAACACGTACTGATACCGTGAGTACTTCAAGCTAATTGGAGAACACGCACTGATACAGTGAGTACTTCAAGCTAATTAGAGAACACGTACTGATACCGTGAGTACTTCATGCTAATTAGAGAAAACAATACCGTGAGTACTTCAAGCTAATTAGAGAAAACATACTGATACATTGAGTACTTCAAGCTAATAATCGTGTGCGTATTCAAAGTTAATTACAGAAACACGAGCAATAATGATAGCTGGGGTACTTCAAGTCAAAGTGCATTTTTTTACAAACAAAAATATTATTTTACAATTTAAACACTAGTAAATATATATATGTATATATTTATATATGTATATATCTAATATATAAAGCTCAATTCTGTATGTAAAACTAAGTTTGTTTGTTTGTTGTTGACATACTTCCATGGATTTAAGTGTTAGACTATTATCGTGCTCATAGTCTAAATTTATGAGTTGAAAAATTACAAAAAAGTTTTGGGAAATAATTTTCATTTTTCAAACTGATAGTAATAATTGTCGGCATGTTCACTAAACACAATTTTTTAAAAATAACAAAAATTCTAATTATGTCTGAAAATTATTTATATTTAGTCCTTTAGCACTTACTTCCCTTTGATAAATTAGGAAAACACAATTACTTCCCTGTATAAAACATTGCATTAGTGGAAAAGAATTTACTTTTTCTTACTTTGTTTTGGTGTTGGGAAAAAAATAATTACATAATTAGCAGGGATTGATCAAGTGCAAATGTTGTAGGTATTTTACGAATAAGCTTGGAGTATTATAATTGTTCATTTGGTTTGGTTTGGCACCTACGTTCGTTTAAGTGAGTGCAAAAGACTATGAATAAGTTGGGGTACTGTAGTCGATTATTAAGCTAAAACAGGCGATTCTGACCCGGGCTAGACTGTGAGCACTTAGCGTTTATGTTCGCGTTAGTGTTTTCTTTGTGTTTAGGTTGGGTTTGCGTTAGTGGTTGCGTTTTGATTTGGTTCTTTTTTTTTCTTTCTTTTTTTTTCGTTTTCGTTTGTGTTTTTTTCTTTGGGTTTGTGTTTGTATTTGTGTTTGTGGTTTTTTTTTCGTTTGGATTTGGTTTGTTTTCGTTTTCGTTTGTGTTTTTCGTTTGTGTTTTTTTCTTTGGGTTTGTGTTTGTGGTTGGTTTTGCGTTTGGATTTGGGTTTTTTTCTTTTGCTTTTTCGTTTGTTTTTTCTTTGTGTTCGTATTGGTGTTTGTGGTTGTGGTTGGGTTTGTTGTTAGGTTTTTGTTTTCGTTTGTATTTGTAATTGTGTTAGCGTTATGTTTGCGTTTTGTTGTTTTGGTTGGTTGTGGTTTGGGTGGGCAATGCCGGGTTTATGATGATTACTAAACACACAGGTAACGGTCTTTAACAGAAAGGTTTTTCACAGAAGCCAGAGCAGGGCCTGGCCGGGACGGCTAGTGTTTATATATATATACATAAATATATATATATATATATATATATATATATATATATATGTATATATATGTGTACGTATATGTATGTGTATGTATATATTTGTAAATGTATGTATATATATATTAATATATATATATATATATATATATATATATATATATATATATATATATATATATATATATATATATATATATATATATATATATTATGTGTATATAGAGAGAGAAAGAGTAAGAGAGAATAAGAGAGAGAAAGAGAGAGAGTGAAGGTGTGTGTAGTTTTACTCGAATATTAGCATATTTTGTTTTATTCTAGTCACCCCGAAATGTCCCAGAATTGTAGCCATGTTTTACCTCCGCAGGATGTGGTTTACACGCTAATGTACACGTGTTAGACTGCTTCCAGGAAATGCTTGCATTTCACTTCTATAAAGACTGGTAACTTTAAAACTACCCCACCCCCTCTGCATTCTACCTCCCCCACTCCCTTTCGATCTCCGACCTCACAAATCAGTCACGTGACCAGACATCTCGCACTTATGCAGATTGTACTTGGGACAACATTGTTATTTTCATCACAGATCAGGGGACGTAATGACCTCAAGTCGGAGTTACATGCCCATTGTCTGATCAAACTTAGCGGCTTGATTGTGTTTTGGAAATAAATGTGACGTCAGCACACAAAAAGAGAAACGCCTTAGACAAGCTTAATGTTAAGAAACCCACTTAGTGGAATTTCCCTAATTCACATAGACGTCATCTCAGCTAAACAATTGCTTTACTCAAGGAATTTTTGTACATTAATGTAGTTTGCATTGCACTATTGTTTACCATTCTGGTGCGCGGAAGGTAGTTTAACACCAGCAGTAGTGAATATAGCTGTACCACAGTAAGATGGAATGTAATTAATTAAAATAATTAATGTCAGTAGTGTAGGCCGCGTCATAATGTTTTAACGTAGGCCGTTTCATTATGTTTCAAAGTAGGCCGTTTCAATATATTTTAACGTAGGCCGTTTCATTATGTTTCAACGTAGGCCGTTTCATTATGTTTCTCTATGTAAACCACAGCTATGTGTTTTCTCTCTCCAGCCACTCGACGTACCACGAGGCAGCGAGGGGTCAGGACACGCCCCTCAAGCAGGCCACGCCCGAGACGGCCAACCACAACGGCAGCGCCTACAGGAGGAGGCGACAGCAGCCGGGGGACGCCACGGGCTCCGGCACAGACAGGGGGGCGACCCAGTCCCTCCTTGCCCTGGAGGGGCGACACGACACGGACGACGACGACTCGCCCGTGACCTCCCCCCAGAGAAAGGTCGCTCCTGTACCTCCCGTACGTACGTCATTTCCGTCTTCAAAGAGCCAATCCAACGATGCGGGTATTCCTCTTCAGGCGATGAGATATTCAAAGCCCCAGAAGAAAGCCGGTGACGTCAAGGACCATGTCTACGAGAACAAACTGTCTCTAGCGCGGCTGGATTCCTCAGCAGACGACAGCGGCCACGCCAGAGTGGCAGAGCTGGAGCTCCACCCGCCTCCCCCCACGTTTGACGAGGCCATGTCGGGTTACCCCCTGACCCCTGACCGTGAACTGTCTTCCCCATCCCCTCCGCTCCCTCCTCCCCCCGTGTCCCCAAACGCCGCGGGGGAGCCGCACCCCGGGCTGAGCCCCCACCCCTCATCTGACGCCAGCGTGTCTCCGTCCTCCTCAGGTGACAAGCGCTACGAGCCGTTCATCCTGGACAGCCCGGAGTCGCCGACGTCATCATCCTTCTCCGAGACGTCCGCCGGCAACCGGCTTCCGTCGCCGGGAGACTTGTCTAAACTCTCGGACGACGGCCTGTCCACGCCTGCCTCGCCCGGCCGGGACTCGAACTTCACCTCCAGCCCTGACATCCGGCGCCCCGCGGGGGGTCAGGTGGCCCCGGGGACGTACAGCAAGGCCCAGCCAATTCTACCAGTGTCTTCCAAACCTCTGGGACGGGCGAGGCCAGACTTGGCACCGTCAAAAGAGGACGACAACGACGTGAGGAGAGCTGACGACGGCAATGTGTATGTGAACATCGACGACATTGTTGGCAAGGAAACAACGTTTTAATAAGCATTAGAGGGAAACTCGGCCTTTCAACTAATTTATATTCAAACCTACCCGTGCATTTATTTCCATATTCCATATGGCTCAAGAGAAGGTTTGTCTTGGAAACGACCATGTCGATTTTTTAATTAAGTGAATTTTCTTCTGTTCGAGTGCTATTGTGTTATAAATTATTTTTTCCCATAAAACATTTATGTAAAGGGAAACTACCCTACTTTTAAAATAAGAAACAGAGTTGTGCCAGAAAATCATTCGCCATTTTAGTTAAAATAATTTTAAACTTGGATGTGGGCTCAGATTATGTAGCCGGCGTACTTTGTAACCTTCTCGGTCTGATTTTAATGTTGCAATATGTAAACAACTATTCATTTTGGTTGTGTTTGAATGTAACGATGGGCAATGTTTTTATTCATATCTAGATTTATTTGAAAAGCGACTTTTATATCCTAGCCAAACAATAAAATAATCCTACAAAACAAATGTCAATTTTTCTTATTAAGGCAATTCATCTTTTCCTTACGCTGTCCTGATGTCCTAAACTAATGACCCCCTGTTTTTAGTGTACTCACACCCACGTTGTGATATTGATAAAGGTTTCGCAGCTCATACAGCCTTGACCTCAGATATAGCTCATCACCGACTGTGATCATTTGTGTCGTGTGTTTGACTCTGTTTGACTCGGTGTGTCGCTGTGTTTGAATCGGTGTTTCTGTGTGTTTGAATCGGTGTATCACTGTGTTTGCCTCGGTGTGTATGTGTGTGTTTGACTCGGTGTGTGTGTGTGTGTGTTTGACTCGGTGTGTCGCTGTGTTTGACTCGGTGTGTAGCTGTGTTTGACTCGGTGTGTCTCTGTTTGACTCGGTGTGTCGCTGTATTTGACTCGGTGTGTCTCTGTTTGACTCAGTGTGTCTCTGTTTGACTCGGTGTGACGCTGTGGTTGACTCAGTGTGTCTCTGTTTGACTCGGTGTGTCTCTGTGTTTGACTCGGTGTGTCTCTGTTTGACTCGGTGTGTCGCTGTATTTGACTCGTTGTGTCTCTGTTTGACTCAGTGTGTCTCTGTTTGACTCAGTGTGTCTCTGTTTGACTCGGTGTGACGCTGTGGTTGACTCAGTGTGTCTCTGTTTGACTCGGTGTGACGCTGTGTTTGACTCGGTGTGTCTCTGTTTGACTTGGTGTGTCTCTGTTTGACGCGGTGTGTCTCTGTGTTTGACTCGGTGTGTCTCTGTTTGACTCGGTGTGTCGCTGTATTTGACTCGGTGTGTCTCTGTTTGACTCAGTGTGTCTCTGTTTGACTCAGTGTGTCTCTGTTTGACTCGGTGTGACGCTGTGGTTGACTCAGTGTGTCTCTGTTTGACTCGGTGTGTCGCTGTATTTGACTCGGTGTGTCTCTGTTTGACTTGGTGTGTCTCTGTTTGACGCGGTGTGTCTCTGTTTGACTCGATGTGTCTCTGTGTTTGATTCAGTGTGTCGCTGTGTTCGTCCCGCTGTGCTATGTCGTTTCGGTGTGTCCGTCGAAGTGTGTCAGTCGAAGTGAGTACTTCTTAGTGTGTCAACTCCAATGTGTCAGACCAAGCTCACCGTGTGTTTACTTGTGTGTGTCTGGTCCTAATAACAACCCGTGTTTACAAAATAGTTGATGTTTTCTTAACAAAGCACACACTTGTTTGTGGTTTTCAAACCAATTTGTGTCTGGCATTTTGCTAAAACATTCTCCTCAAATATTTCGCTAAAACATTCTCCTCAAATATTTCGCTAAAACATTCTCCTCAAATATTTCGCTAAAACATTCTCCTCAAATATTTCGCTAAAACATTCTCCTCAAATATTTCGCTAAAATATTCTCCTCAAATATTTCGCTAAAACATTCTCCTCAAATATTTCGCTAAAACATTCTCCTCAAATATTTTGCTAAAACATTCTCCTCAAATATTTCGCTAAAACATTCTCCTCAAATATTTCGCTAAAACATTCTCCTCAAATATTTCGCTAAAACATTCTAATCAAATATTTCGCCAAAACATTCTCCTCAATTATTTCGCTAAAACATTCTCCTCAAATATTTCGCTAAAACATTCTCCTCAAATATTTCGCTAAAACATTCTCCTCGAATATTTCGCTAAAACATTCTCCTCAAATATTTTGCTAAAACACTTTGCTTAGTTACGTTACAATAACTCTTTAGCTTTGTGTTTGCTTGAAAGTCAGGCTCATTTTTTTTCTCTTTAATGGTAAAATGTTGTCATAGTATTTTGCTTAACTGTTTCAGATCCGTTTTCTTTAAACGCTATTAAAAGATTTGATCTAAAAATAAAATAGTAAAATATGCATGAGGCGACTCAAATCATCGGTCTAAGCGTATCAAAGCAGCTTTAAACTTTTTACTAGCTCCATCTCCGTGCTCTGTAAAACCATCTGGTTACTTAATACTGTTGACCACAGTGCCTTGTATGATCTTGGACTCTTCTAACGACGAGAGCTGACGTCAGACGGTCATTTATTCGGGACGATCCAAGATTTACATATTTAGTCGACAAACGCCATCATTAACTTATCAGTGAACATCATCAAAAGATATCATTAACCTGCACATCAATATGAAAAAAAAAACAAATCATTAACCTACATTAACAAACGGAATTATTAAATTACAGACAAACATGAACAAATAAAATTATAACCTAAACACGAGCATGAACAAATGAAATTATTAACCTACAGACGAACATGAACAAATGAAATTAGAATCTACAAACGAACATGCACAAATGAAATTATTAACCTAAACATAAACATGAACAAATTAAATTATTAACCTACAGACGAACATGAACAAATGAAATTATTAACCTAAACACAAACATGAACAAACGCAATGATTAACCTACAGATGAACATGAACAAATGAAATAATTAACCTACAAACGAACATGAACAAATAAAATTATTAACCTACCCATTAATATAAAGACTCGTGCACATTTTTCAGCCGAGTTTTCATTTGAGCATCGTTTTGTTAAACAAAAATAAACATCCCCATACCGTGTTTGGTAACATTGTATTGTTTATTAATTTGAACATTAGAAACGTGTTCATACTCTTTCGTTAATCCACTCTGTATCTTTCTGTTTTACATTTTTTTAAAAGTAAAGTTTCAATAAAATTACTAACGGTGTGGTAATAATGTTTTTATACATAATTAATTAACTCAATAATTTTTTATTGTACATCGTAGCGTTACAATAGTTTATGAAGGATACATCATTGTTGTTGGCAAGAGTGAATTTAAAAGCTGATTGTGTAACTTTCAGTGAGTGTGGTTGGTGTGGTAAATATACCACCTGGTGTTGTTACATTTAGTGAATGTGGTTGGTGTGGTAAATGTACCAGCAGATGTGGTTGGTGTGGAAAATGTACCACCAGATGTTGTGGTTGGTGTGGAAAATATGCCACCTGGTGTTGTTACTTTCAGTGAGTGTGGTTGATGTGGTATATGTACCAGCAGATGTGGTTGGTGTGGAAAATGTACCACCAGATGTTGTGGTTGGTGTGGTAAATATACCACCTGGTGTTGATACATTTAGTGAGTGTGGTTGATGTGTTAAATGTACCACATGGGGTGTTGATACATTTAGTGAGTGTGGTTGATGTGTTAAATGTACCACATGGGGTGTTGATACATTTAGTGAGTGTGGTTGATGTGGTAAATGTACCACATGGTGTTGTGGTTGGTGTAGAAAATGTACCAGCAGATGTTGTGGTTGGTGTGGTAAATATGCCACATGGTGTTGATACATTTAGTGAGCGTGGTTGATGTGGTAAATGTGGCTGATGTGACTAGTCTTGTACATATTGAATACTCCGTATGTGTGATGTGGTTGACATAACATATCTATTGTTTGATGACAAATTATTTTCTTTAATGTACTGAATGAGGATGTCAATATATTGGGTTGTCTCCCGTGGTGAGTAGTTAGCTTAGTTTGTCGGGTGAGTTCAGGTCAGAAATAAATTCAATGGAAACCAAGATTGACCTGGGTCATTGGCAATTATTTTTTGTTCGTTTGTTGAAGTTATTTGTTTATTAAACCTGAAAAGAAAAATCATTTTAAAAAGATTTTAATCGTCTACTCGGTAAAAATGTCTGTTCAAAAAGACCAAGCATCGTTTTCATTTATGTACATTTTTTGTGAACATTTGAACTTTATAATGTAATCATTTCTGTCTTGCAGATTTTTTAACAATACTGAACTGATTATAAAACAATGGATAACGGTTGCAGTATATGGGAGTAGATGATGAATTAAGAATTTATCATTCCGCTCCATGCAAATCCTGATACAAGGGGAAGAGGGGGCTGGTATAAGGGGGAGAGGGGTCTGATACAAAGGGGTCTGATACAAAGGGGTCTGATATAAGGGGGTCTGATACAAGGGGGTCTGATACAAGGGGGTCTGATACAAGGGGGTCTGATACAAGGGGGTCTGATACAAGGGGGTCTGATACAAAGGGGTCTGATACAAGGGGTCTGATACAAAGGGGTCTGATACAAGGGGGTCTGATACAAGGGGGTCTGATACAAGGGGGTCTGATACAAAGGGGTCTGATACAAGGGGGTCTGATACAAGGGGGTCTGATATAAAGGGGTCTGATACAAGGGGTCTGATACAAGGGGGTCTAATACAAGGGGGTGAGTACTATGATAGAAGGGGGAGAGACTGTCTGTTACAAGGGAGATAGGAGGGCCTAAAAGGAAGTGGGGGTCAGATACAAGAGGGAGAGGATTTAATACATAGGAGAGAGTTGGTCTGATACAATGGATAGAGGGGGAACAGATAACCTCAATTTGTCTATCAAACTATGGAGCTTATTGCTTATTTATAGTTGTGTTGGTAGATCTAATGCTTTGTTTATTTGACTCAGACATTTTCTTGAAATAACAAGATTTCAAAAGAAAGAAATAAAATGTTTAGCGTAGTGTTTTAATCTTAACATTAGACATTAGTGATATAAAAATACCTATGACAATGGATGCTAAATAATGAATCATAAATTTCAAAAATTACAATAAAAAATGTCATGAAATGAAAATTGACGGAAGTTGACCTTCTGGATGTCAGTAGTTCCAGTTTGATAAGCAGACAAGAAGCAACTGAAGCGTGTCGACTGGCAGCATTTTATAGGGGTCGATACTGATTTCTTAGAAAGTTGGTAACAAAACGTCTTGATCAGATAACATAAGCTAACAACAAAATATGACGTCTTGAAGTTACTGTTACATTGGTCCCATCAATGGTGACAGGAACAAAATGTCGTGGTCTGACGTCCTTTATTGCATTGTTTCGTTGACGTCATTTGGGTGGTTGTTTTTATAAACCCAACACGAGAGCTGATTGGTTGGCAGCCTGACAATCAACCATTGGTCACCATCAAAGTCACCATTGGACAATTTGTTTTTTTGGGATGTCCGAAGATTCATCAACACGAGCTGACCAATGCTGAAGGTCTTGTCTCTAAATTGTACAATTACTGGCAAAATGCTCTGAAATGTTTGCAACTTGTTGTCAATTATTTAAACACGTCAAATGTCACCAAAGTGATAAAAATGATAAATAAATTAATTTCTTCAATTTAAAGAAGCCCAATTTGTTGTGCAAATCATGTACACAATCAAACATGTTCGATCATGGAACTAAAAGGATTCGATCCTGTATCCATGTGCCACATCCGTTCTCATTGTTCAAAATATATACAACATATTTACCAGAACAGACATAAGTCACATTTTCGTATGTTTTCTTGCACATCAATAATATCATGGAAGCATTTATTTTACAGTGCACGAAAAGGATACTCGGTTATGCAGGGGAAGTAAGTCAATGATATTATAATGATATAGAATGGAAGGCCACTGGTCAAATGCTGGAATGGCCAGTCGAGAGTATGTAGTTTTAGCACTGTTTGAATTGGTGCATGTAGAGGAGACTAGGGACCAGTAGAACAAACTTTCAGAGTGAGGTGCTATGTAAACAAAATATGTAAAACAAACTTTCAGAGTGAGGTGCTATATAAACAAAATATGTAGAACAAACTTTCAGAGTGAGGTGGTATGTAAACAAAATATATAGAACAAACTTTCAGAATGAGGTGCTATGTAAACAAAATATGTAGAACAAACTTTCAGAATGAGGTGCTATGTAAACAAAATATGTAGAACAAACTTTCAGAGTGAGGTGCTATGTAAATAAAATATGTAGAATAAACTTTCAGAGTTAGGTGCATGTAAACAAAATATATAGAACAAACTTTCAGAATGAGGTGCTATGTAAACAAAATATGTAGAACAAACTTTCAGAGTGAGGTGGTATGTAAACAAAATATGTAGAACAAACTTTCAGAGTGAGGTGCTATGTAAACAAAATATGTAGAACAAACTTTCAGAGTGAGGTGCTATGTAAACAAAATATGTAGAACAAACTTTCAGAGTGAGGTGCTATGTAAACAAAATATGTAGAACAAACTTTCAGTATTAGGTGCTATGTAAACAAAATATGTACAACAAACTTTCAGAGTGAGGTGCTATGTAAACAAAATATATAGAACAAACTTTCAGAGTGAGGTGTTATGTTAATAAAATATGTAGAACAAACTTTAAAAAAAATGGTAAACAATCAGAGTGAGATGCTATTTAAACAAAGGATTTTAAAATTATCAGAGTGAGGAGCTATTTAAATAAGAAATGTAAAATAATCAGAGTGAGGTTCTATTTCAACAAAAAATATAAAATAATCCGGGTGAGGAGCTATTTAAATAAGAAATGTAAAATAATCAGGGTGAGGTTCTATTTACTAATCAGAACACATCTTAATACTGAGATATACTTAGCTGCTGATACGCTATCGATTTTCCGTCCACAATATTTTCGTTGTTTTTACACGAAGAATTATAGGAATATTATTCATAGAGTATTCATTGGTATTTATAATGAGTATTCATAGAATTATTAATTTGAGGAAAGTGTGAAATATTATTAGAAATAATTGTGATGTAACTGCATATAAACGCGTTCGATACTTGAACTATTTACAAATTGTATGTAATACAAACAACTCAGGTGAATGAATGACGCTCTCAACCACAACAGTGGGTTCTCCTTTTATACTGTCAGGTGTGTGTTGTTGTTTTTTTTTTGTAATGTCAGGTGTGGGTTGTCCTTTTGTACTGTCAGATATGGGGTTGTCCTTTTGTACTGTCAGATGTGGGGTTGTCCTTTTGTACTGTCAGATGTGGGGTTGTCCTTTTGTGCTGTCAGATGTGGGGTTGTCCTTTTGTACTGTCAGATGTGGGGTTGTCCTTTTGTGCTGTCAGATGTGGGGTTGTCCTTTTGTGCTGTCAGATGTGGGGTTGTCCTTTTGTACTGTCAGATGTGGGGTTGTCCTTTTGTGCTGTCAGATGTGGGGTTGTCCTTTTGTACTGTCAGATGTGGGGTTGTCCTTTTGTACTGTCAGATGTGGGGTTGTCCTTTTGTACTGTCAGATGTGGGGTTGTCCTTTTGTACTGTCAGATGTGGGGTTGTCCTTTTGTGCTGTCAGATGTGGGGTTGTCCTTTTGTACTGTCAGATGTGGGGTTGTCCTTTTGTACTGTCAGATGTGGGGTTGTCCTTTTGTGCTGTCAGATGTGGGGTTGTCCTTTTGTGCTGTCAAATGTGGGGTTGTCCTTTTGTACTGTCAGATGTGGGGTTGTCCTTTTGTACTGTCAGATGTGGGGTTGTCCTTTTGTACTGTCAGATGTGGGGTTGTCCTTTTGTACTGTCAGATGTGGGGTTGTCCTTTTGTACTGTCAGATGTGGGGTTGTCCTTTTGTGCTGTCAGATGTGGGGTTGTCCTTTTGTACTGTCAGATGTGGGGTTGTCCTTTTGTACTGTCAGATATGGGGTTGTCCTTTTGTACTGTCAGATGTGGGGTTGTCCTTTTGTGCTGTCAGATGTGGGGTTGTCCTTTTGTACTGTCAGATGTGGGGTTGTCCTTTTGTACTGTCAGATGTGGGGTTGTCCTTTTGTGCTGTCAGATGTGGGGTTGTCCTTTTGTACTGTCAGATGTGGGGTTGTCCTTTTGTGCTGTCAGATGTGGGGTTGTCCTTTTGTACTGTCAGATGTGGGGTTGTCCTTTTGTACTGTCAGAAGTGGGGTTGTCCTTTTGTGCTGTCAGATCTGGGGTTGTCCTTTTGTACTGTCAGATGTGGGGTTGTCCTTTTGTACTGTCAGATGTGGGGTTGTCCTTTTGTGCTGTCAGATGTGGGGTTGTCCTTTTGTACTGTCAGATGTGGGGTTGTCCTTTTGTACTGTCAGATGTGGGGTTGTCCTTTTGTACTGTCAGATGTGGGGTTGTCCTTTTGTACTGTCAGATGTGGGGTTGTCCTTTTGTACTGTCAGATGTGGGGTTGCCCTTTTGTGCTGTCAGATGTGGGGTTGTCCTTTTGTACTGTCAGATGTGGGGTTGTCCTTTTGTACTGTCAGATGTGGGGTTGTCCTTTTGTGCTGTCAGATGTGGGGTTGTCCTTTTGTACTGTCAGATGTGGGGTTGTCCTTTTGTACTGTCAGATGTGGGGTTGTCCTTTTGTGCTGTCAGATGTGGGGTTGTCCTTTTGTACTGTCAGATGTGGGGTTGTCCTTTTGTACTGTCAGATGTGGGGTTGTCCTTTTGTACTGTCAGATGTGGGGTTGTCCTTTTGTACTGTCAGATGTGGGGTTGTCCTTTTGTACTGTCAGATGTGGGGTTGTCCTTTTGTACTGTCAGATGTGGGGTTGTCCTTTTGTACTGTCAGATGTGGGGTTGTCCTTTTGTACTGTCAGATGTGGGGTTGTCCTTTTGTACTGTCAGATGTGGGGTTGTCCTTTTGTGCTGTCAGATGTGGGGTGTCACTTGTCAAATTGTGACAGTTGTATCGAGTGTAAAATATTGTCATTAAAGAATTATTTTTTAAAAAAAAACATACATGATATTCTCATAGTTTAAATTACTTTTAAACATTCCTCTACGTCCAGGCCATATTTTTTTTCTCGTTCAAACTCGCTGAGTTATATCTATTTTTTGACACGAATCAAAAACTTTAACAAATTTTACTCTTAAATTTACACACACACACACACACAGACACACACACACACACAAACACACACGCATACTCAAAACCGCAAACATCATGTTCACACCTCCACATTCTCCCCTCCCCTCCCCACGTCACTAGAGTAACGTCACTCTCACTGCCGCCTCCTCCAACTTCCTGTCCGCCATTGCATAGTCCCACCTCGGCTCGTCCACGTGATTGTGTTCATCCGCCTGGTAGTTATCAGGCTCGTATTTCCACTCGCTGGTATTCCCACAATCCATCGCGGCGCGCCTGAAATAAAAAGTTCCAACTTTTTTTTTTTTTTGGTAATTTGAAACCAGGAAGTGAATGGACTTTACAGAGAGCTGACAAAATCTGGAATCTGACGGGGAATCTTTTGTCTGGAATAGTGGGCCTAACAAGATGGTATGTGACGCATACACAACTATACTAACACTACTTACGGCTTTTTCAATAGCTGTTGTAAGAAGCATTAATTTTACTTGATTTTCAAGTGTACGGCCTTCTTATTACGTGTTGGTAAAAGGTTGGCAACAAAATCTCACCAAATTATACTGAACCGATTTCTTTCGAATTTGACACTTAGTTCAACCTCCGGTAACAAGACCATGTCAGTTGAGCTTGACACAGATGTTTAAATAATAATTTAAAGGAAATTAAAGGCAGGGTTTCTTTCGGACATTTCGACGCGGGGGGGGGGGGGCGAGGCATTTGAAACTTTTAAGTACAATGATTGTAATACGTAATCCTTAAATTCTCTATTTAAATTAAATGTTTTTTTCCATCCATAGTGTTAAGTACACACATTTACTGTGTTCAAAATCTCGCAATTCTAAAGTTTTAGAGCAAATTTCATTATACTAAAATTAAGTTACTATATACACATTTGCATGAGAAAAAAAGCGAAATTCTTTAATACATTCATTTTACAGATTTCTATTAATCAGAGGGTCATTTTTCCTTCTTTTTTTTTATTCGCTCCCTTTAATTTTTTTTACATGTAACGTTAACTTACGCTAGCTCTTCCATCACGTTAACTTACGCTAGCTCTTCCATCACGCTAACACGCTAACTTCCCCATCACAAACTTTCGCTAGTTCTCTCATCACGCTAACTTACGCTAGTTCTCTCATCACGCTAACTTACGCTAGCTCTCTGTTCACGCTAACTTACGCTAGCTCTCTGTTCACGCTAACTTACGATAGCTCTCTGTTCACGCTAACTTACGCTAGCTCTCTCATCACGCTAACTTACGCTAGCTCTCTCATCACGCTAACTTACGCTAGCTCAGTTTGTAGCCTCTCTATCTCATTCCTCGCTTGCCGTAGTTCAAACTTGGCCTTCCACAATTTTGTCTCACACAGAGGACTCCGGCACTTGTCTTTAGAGTTTCTGTGGACAGCCTCACGGACTGATGCCTCGAAGCTTAGGGACATACCCATGCTCTGTGAGGGAGAGGATAAATTGTTGAGGGGTGGGGGATACGTCGTGGAGGGGTGGGGGGATACATTGTGGAGGGGTGTGGGGGATATATTGTGGAGGGGTGTGGATTATATGTTTTGAGGCGAGTAGAAGATAACTTGTGGGGGTGGTGGGGGGAATACGTTGTGGAGGGATGCGGAGAATACGTTGAGGGGTGTAAAAGATATGTTGTTGTGGGGTGCGTTGAATTATTTGTGGAGGGGTGTTGAGGGGTGTGTGGGAGAAGCTGTGGAGGTTTCGGCCAATAAGTTGTGGGAGAGGTGTGGAGGATACGTTGTGGGAGTTGTGTGGAGGATAAGTTGTGGGAGATGTGTGGAGGATAAGTTGTGGGAGATGTGTGGAGGATAGGTTGTGGGAGATGTATGGAGGATAAGTTGTGGGAGAGGTGTGTTTAGGATAAGTTGTGTGAGAGGTGTGGAGGATAAGTTGTGGGAGAGGTGTGGAGGATAAGTTGTGGAAGAGGTGTGGAGTATAAGTTGTGGGAGAGGTGTGGAGGATAAGTTGTGTGAGAGGTGTGGAGGATAAGTTGTGGAAGAGGTGTGGAGGATAAGTTGAGGGAGATGTGTGGAGGATAAGTTGAGGGGTTTGTAAAATAAATTGTGGAAGGGTGTAGGAAGAAGTTGTGGGGAGTGGAGGATAATAATGTCTGTCTGGCAATTGTCTAGCAACTGTCCAGCCTTGGTCCGGCATTTGTCCGGTAGCTGTCCGGCATTTGTCCGGTAGCTGTCCGGCCATTGCCCGGCACCTGACAGGCCGACAATACACCCACTTCACCTACCAGGCTTACGAGAGCGCAGCAACCTTTCTTATCCCACGATCGAAGCCTTTTTCTGGCGAAACAAAAATAGCACTGCTCCAAGATCAAGGTCAAGACGGCCAGTCCCGTCCCGGCGGCCAGCAAAATGAAAGCGGAAGTGAAGTTGAGAATCCCTAGCGTGCTGCTGGACACGCCGTTGCCGATGCCGCGGTTGTTGTTGGTTTTCTTCCTCTTGGTGTGGCAGGCACCAGCCAACCAGAACTCTTTCAGCCGCTCCATCTCGCCTGCAGGGGTTAAAGACAATCTGCTCGTTATACTCTTCATGTACGTTTACTGTCATTAGAATGGGGGGGGGGGATAAAACTCAATTGTTTTCATTATTCAGTTCATAAACTACCCAATCCCTCATTATACAGTTCATATACAACTCAATGTTCTCGTTATACATTTCATTTTTACATTTACTTTCATTAGTATGTTGTGGTGGGGATGGGGGTGGGGGTGGGGGAATAAAACTCTATCTTCTCATTATACATGTTCCTATACAACACAATATTCTCATTATACTGTTCATATACAACACAATATTCTCATTATACTGTTCCTATACAACACAATATTCTCATTATACTGTTCATATACAACACAATCTTCTCATTATACAGTTCATATACAACACAATATTCTCATTATACATGTTCATATACAACTCAATATTCTCATTATACTGTTCATATACAACACAATATTCTCATTATACATGTTCCTATACAACACAATATTCTCATTATACTGTTCATATACAACACAATATTCTCATTATACATGTTCATATACAACTCAATATTCTCATTATACTGTTCATATACAACTCAATATTCTCATTATACAGTTCATATACAACGCAATATTCTCATTATACTGTTCATATACAACACAATATTCTCTTTATACTATTCAAATACAACTCAATATTTTCATTATACTGTTCATATACAACACAATCTTCTCATTATACTGTTCATATACAACTCAATATTCTCATTATACTGTTCATATACAACTCAATATTCTCATTATACAGTTAATATAAAACGCAAGCTTTTCATTACACAGTTCATAAACATTTTCTTCATAAGTATTGGGGAAACGCAGTAGTCTTTTAACAGTTGGGGTAAATGTAGTATATTGGGGGGACGCAATATTTTCATAAGTAATGTGGAGGCGGAGGTATTAAAATGCAAACGTTTCATAAAAGAATTAGGGTAAATGTAGTTTCATAAGTAGCTTGGAAGAAAAAATAAATCGCAATATTTTCACAAAATTAATTGGAAAATTTAATTGAATTAGTTTATTGAGGGGTGGGGGATAAAACACAATCTTTTCATTATTTGTTTAGGGTTAATGTAGTTTCATTAATATTTTGTGGAAACATGAAACGCAATCTTTACATAACATTAATTAATATTACTTTAGTTTATGATGGGGATATACAATAAGTTTTAAAATATTTACTAGGTATATTAGAGATGATTAGTTAGCTGTTAACAAAAAGTTATTATTAGTGTATTTCTTAAGTATAGGGCTTACTTTGGGAAAAATAAGTCTCTTTTCGAAAAAAAAGGTTAGGATTGATGTACTTTTATTGGTATAACTTGTGATTTTAAAAATATTCTTCTGGTAACAGGGTTAGGGTAAATGTTCCTTGATTGGTGTATTAGTTTTGTCAAAGTGAACGTCTCCAGCCCCACGTAAAACTGCCTGGGTTAGCCAGAGTGTCCCAATCTATTTAAATTGAGAATTACCAGGCCAAGCCACGCCCCCTGGGACGTGGACTTCAGCAGACGACACGAAATCAAGTTAGGGCACCCCGGTCTATTTACTTCTCAGAATACCTCAAACATCTTTTTTTTTTCATCTCTGATTGCTCGTGTGACTAGGTGGGGGGGGGGGGGGGAAGAAAACATCCATCCATCCACAGTGCAACCACAGTGCAACCACAGATCATCCATGTTTTACATCAATGTCTCTGTGGTAGGGCATCACATAACACATGGTTGGGAAGGCAGGGCATTCTAAAGTGATATATCCTTGGGTAAACAGCGTTTACACTGTTTGTTTAACAATAAAATGCCAAACACTAACCCTCCCTCATCCACTAAATACATCTTCGTTTGCAGTGTTTCTCCCAGACTTGAAATTTTCGGGGAGGGGGGGGTAGACTTTCTTCAGGGGGGGGGGGGGCGGACACTGTTAAAAGTATATATTTTCTATATAAATTATATACATTTCATTTCGTTCGGGGAGATGCATGGAAGAAACTCTGTTCGTTTGTTGATCAAAAATAAAATGCCCAACGCCGTCACACCCCCCCCCCCCCCCGCCCCATCAAGCACACCTTCGTATTGTTGATTGTTTATCAAAAAATAAAGTGCCCTGCCCTCCACCCCCCCCTCACCCTGTCCATCACGCCCACCTTCGTACTGCAGGTTGAGAATGACGTTGTTAACCCGGTCCAACCAGGGGCTCTTGAAAGGAAATCCGACCCCATATCCGGTGGTGGCGTACCAATTTCCCACAGTAATTAGGCGGCAGTCTTTGTCTTTGCCCTCCTGGTACTTGAGCACACTGGCGTCGTAGATGAAGGCGTGCAGCGTTCTGTTGGGGAGGGTTGAACATAGGCTACGTCATTGTATGTGGGGAGGGGAGAACATAGGCTACGTCATTGTATGTGGGGGGGTCATAGGCTAAGTCATTGTATGTGGGGGGGGGGTCATAGGCTACGTCATTGTATGTGGGGGGGGGGTCATAGGCTACGTCATTGTATGTGGGGGGGTCATAGGCTACGTCATTTTAGTTGGGGGGGGTCATAGGCTACGTCATTGTATGTGGGGGGGTCATAGGCTACGTCATTGTATGTGGGGGGGTCATAGGCTACGTCATTGTATGTGGGGGGAGACATAGGCTATGTCATTGTATGTGGGGGAGGGGGTCATAGGCTACGTCATTGTGTTGGGGAATTTAGTGCGAGAATGACGTCATTGTATTGTGAAAGTGAGTGCAAGAACTACGTCATTGTGTTTGACGGAGTTCCAAAACTACGTCATTTATTTGGGGCATTGAGCGCAAGAATTATGTCATTATTTGGAGAACAGTTTATCTTTTACACAGAGGTTATTAAACTACAAGAGAAAATTCAGGAGCTGTTGATTTAATAAGGTAAACTGTTCGTAAATTTAAAAGGCATTTATGATTGCTTTCTTTTTAAACACATTTCTCAGTTTGTTTTAAGATGTACACAGTTTTGATATTTAATGTCTTAAGTGCGGTAACGTGTTTTTGTGACGCTGTTGACTTAATGTGTCTATTCAGTAATTGTGTCTTTATGTGTCGTGGGCAACTTACTGTGTCTGGCTAACTTAATGTGTCATAATGTCTTCAGTGTCTGACTGTGTCTATAACTTACTGTGTCTTCAATGACTCCATGGCCTGTTCCACAGACCGCTGTGTGTACTTCTTCATGTACTCATACATGTTGGCGTTGTTCTTTTTGATGTTACTCTCTGTTGTACCGTTAGCTATGGTCGCAAAGCGGAAAGGTGGATTCATGGCGTATGGCTTTTGTAGCTGGAATATATGAGGACTCGTATAGAAGGATGGGTCGTGGAATATGTTTTTGTAACTGGAATATTTTAGGACTCATGTAGAAGGATGGGTCATGGAATATGGCTTTTGTAACACTATAATATTTTGTCTGAAATATGAAAGTAAAAATGTAAAAAAAAACTAAATTAAATTATCTGTTCTGCTCTTATCTGTAAGCATTATTCTTATGGCTGTATATTTTCACAGCGCACTTCTAATTTTCTCCAATCACTATCTCAGACTATCAAATATCAACCCACTCTTTATTTTTTCCAACCCAATATCGTTCAATTACACGAAGAACCAACCAATTCTTGCCACAGGTAAACCTGACCCCCACTAGCCACAGGTGACCTTGACCTACCCTCCAGTCCTGCATGCCACAGGTAACCCTGACCTCCACTAGCCACAGATTACCTTGACCTACCCTCCAGTCCTGCATGCCACAGGTAAACCTAACCCCCACTAGCCACAGACGACCTTGACCTACCCTCCAGTCCTGCATGCCACAGGTAAACCTAACCCCCACTAGCCACAGATGACCTTGACCTACCCTCCAGTCCTGCATGCCGCTGAGGTCGTAGTACTCCTCCTTTGTGATCATGAAGGCCGCCAGGTTAGCCGTGTAGGAGGCGCTGAAGACCAGTGCGAACAAGGCCCAGATGTTGGACATGAACTTGCTGGACACGCCCCTGGGGGTGTCCGTTGTCACCGCCGCCCCGAACAGCATGGCCCACATGAGCCAGAAGGTCCGGAATAAGGAGAACTTGTAGGCTGGGGGAGAGATGAAGTAAGCAGAATTTGTAGAGAATAGATGACACAAGCAGAATTCGTAGGCTGGCTAGAGAATAGATTAAATAAGCAGAATTTGCAGGTTCGAGATTAGACGAAATAATCAAATTCTGTAAAATGGAGAATAGATTAAATAAGCAAAATTTACAGGCTAGATATTAGATGAAGTAAACAGAATTTGTAGGATAGAGATTAGACAAAATATTGAAATTCTGTAGGCTAGAGAATAGACAAAATAAGCAGAATTTGTAGAGAATAGACGAAATAGCAGAATTAGAGAATAAAAGAAATAAGCAGAATTTGCAGGTTAGAGATTAATCAAAATAATCAAATTATGTAGACTGTAGAATAGACGAAATAAGCAGAATTTCTCTAAATAAAATTCTTAATAGTTTAGGATCTTTTACTTTAGATAATTGGTCTTTTTTCCTAAAGCAAGCCTTATGGATGCATAACATTTTAAGTTCTCCTTCCAGATACGTTTTTTTTTTTTTTGTTAACTTACTAACGTATCAAATGAAGTACA